GTCCTCGTCGCTCCTGGGAAATATTACATTTTCCCTTCTTGCTACAGAGGAATAACTTCTCCCTCATCGTTACCCCCTATAATGGAGTCTTATCTTGGTTCAGAACGTTTGCTGTCGGCGATGCTCATGAATGGAGATTGAACGTCATCATTCCATTCCGGAGAGCTTTATAGCCATGATTGTGTCATGTATGGGTTTGCATATATCACGTATATTGTTTCTGGTAAATAACATTTTCTCAAGCGTCTGTGGGACAACGCCCACACGGCTGTCATCGGCTACTGCGTCTGCCATGGAATGCGGAATCAGACCTATTTTATCAAAAATCAACTCAAGTGTAAACGTTTATTTGAGAAGTATTTACTAGCCTAGACTTCAGTATCAAACTCTGGGCATATGATTTAGCATTTCAGCAAATTATGGTATAGATATATCAGCATAGTTATTCTGTAACCAATAGTGGGCATAAACAAGCTCCGATCAGTAGTGACTAATGATAAGCATGATTTTAGTGTAGCTACTCAGTGACCAATAGTAATATACTAGAATTGTATATGAGTAACCAGTTCTGAACATATACTAGTAAGCGTGCGCTAGCATGTTATAATGTATTTTACACACCAAGATAAGTCCATACAAATCTCTGTAAAAATGCCCATCTTCCTGTTGTCAGTTCACGTCACACCAGGTCGCTGAGAAAAATTAAATTGGTTTTAATCAATCAATTAATGTGTTAGCAAAAAATAAAGACTTCCGGAAGAAGTTTAGAGATACCAGATGCTTAAAAAAACACGGCTGTTTGTCATAGGAACGATAGAAAGACAATGGCTACTTGTTGGGCATGACCATTAGTCTTTGTGGTCAGTCTCTATATGTACTCAAGCTTGGAGTATTTTTCACGGCTGTTTCATAAAGTGTGGCAGGTGTTTATTTTCCTCTTTGTCATCGAAAGCCACGTCCACAACAAAACACGAAAACTTGTTAATTCAACAGCAAGGGCCGGTTATTTATGAACTGTTAAATGGTGTTTAACCAATTCGATAATACAGAAAGGTTTTTGAGGTTTATGTAAACAGAAACAAAGGTCATACATGTGTTTGTAGTGTTGCTGAATCAATCGGTCAGTTTGAGTATATGTAAACTTGACCGTATGGTCAGTATTGATGTGGCCAGAGTATTGGTACAACGGAGGCCATTTGGCGTGACGAGCTGGTCTTCTGTTTTCGCTAATTCATGTCGAGAAGTGGTTCCATGTGATGACTTGTGTCACGCCTAGACCAAAAACAGCATGTAATTAAAAGTACACAAGCACATACACTTTTACTTAATAAGTGACAAGTGAAAGTAGGTGATCTGATGAATATATGCCAGTCGTGACGATCGAAGACTGGTCGATGATAGATATACTTACAATATACGTATATGTATTTGAAAAGTGGGTGGGGGAGAGGGGGGGATGTACATTGATTTGGTACAAGTTTGTACACTGTACACGTGAATTCTGTATCAATATGCTACCTGGATGTAATTGGTTATGGGTGAGTATCTGAGGGTTTCTATTATGGCCTCTGAAACAAGTAAATAAGATAACAAAAGACTTGATTCATTTTGTATTTACAAACACAATTACTGCAACGGAAGTGATTTTAGAGACAGACAAAATTGTAATAGTAACGGAGAAAACCAACACGACTATCATTGTGTGACGTCAATTTGGTGTAACTTAAAACTCGTACTATTATCAATTAGTGCGTAAATAAATGTTCAACGTAAGTTTCACAAGTAAAAATAACGGTTGCTCCCCCAAAATACTTACACGCTTGCCTATTCTATACGTACACTTCCTGTTGTTTATACCTCTGTCACACCTGTTTCTTTATATCTTGTGAGGTGTGCCCATCGTTATCGGTCATTTTTACAGCTTTGTGTGGTGTTTTCTTCATACTCGTTTAAATTTCATCATGTACACGTCTCCGTAGTTGTGTAATTCTTACGATGTGTTTCTGTGTACATCAAACCACAGTCATTGATTCCATTCATCACACTTGGATGTTCAGAAAGGAACACCTCTTGTCGTCAATAATGTTTCGGCATAAATGATTCACGAGGACTATCGAACAAATATTCCTATGAAGATTTTTGAGATATATTGGATATTCGCCCTCACTAAATGGTCTTATCAAGTTGTTAAAAAGTATCTACAAAATGTTGGATCCAGGTAAAATTAAATAAACCCTGAAAAAACAGCTCTGATGTAAAAGTCTCTAGGTACTGATGGTCTCTAGGTACTGAAGGTTCTAGGTACTGATGGTCTCTAGGTACTGAAGGTCACTAGGTACTGAAGGTCTCTAGGTACTGAAGGTTCTAGGTACTGATGGTCTCTAGGTACTGATGGTCTCTAGGTACTGAAGGTTCTAGGTACTGATGGTCTCTAGGTACTGAAGGTTCTAGGTACTGAAGGTCTCTAGGTTCTGAAGGTCCTAGGTACTGATGGTCTCTAGGTACTGAAGGTTCTAGGTACTGATGGTCTCTAGGTACTGATGGTCTCTAGGTACTGAAGGTTCTAGGTACTGATGGTCTCTAGGTACTGATGGTCTCTAGGTACTGAAGGTCTCTAGGTACTGATGGTCTCTGACTGGTCTCTAACTGATTTCTAGGTACTGATGGTCTCTAGGTACTGAAGGTCTCTAGGTACTGATGGTCTCTAGGTACTGAAGGTCTCTAGGTACTGAAGGTTCTAGGTACTGATGGTCTCTAGGTACTAAAGGTCTCTAGGTACTGATGGTCTCTAGGTACTGAAGGTTCTAGGTACTGATGGTCTCTAGGTACTGAAGGTCTCTAGGTACTGAAGGTCTCTAGGTACTGAAGGTCTCTAGGTACTGAAGGTTCTAGGTACTGATGGTCTCTAGGTACTAGGTACTGAAGGTTCTAGGTACTGATGGTCTCTAGGTACTGATGGTCTCTAGGTACTGAAGGTTCTAGGTACTGATGGTCTCTAGGTACTGATGGTCTCTAGGTACTGATGGTCTCTAGGTACTGATGGTCTCTAAGTACTAAAGGTCTCTAGGTACTGATGGTCTCTAGGTACTGATGGTCTCTAGGTACTGAAGGTCACTAGGTACTGATGGTCTGTAGGTACTGAAGGTTTTAGGTACTGATGGTCTCTAGGTACTGATGGTCTCTAGGTACTGAAGGTCTCTGGGTATTGAAGGTCTCTGGGTACGGATGGTCTCTGGGTATTGAAGGTCTCTGGGTACGGATGGTCTCTAGGTACTGAAGGTTCTAGGTACTGAAGGTCTCTAGGTACTGATGGTCTCTAGGTACTGAAGGTTCTAGGTACTGAAGGTTCTAGGCACTGATGGTCTCTGGGTACTGAAGGTCTCTAGGTACTGATGATCTCTAGGTACTAAAGGTCTCTAGGTACTGAAGGTTCTAGGTACTGATGGTCTGTAGGTACTGAAGGTTCTAGGTACTGATGGTCTCTAGGTACTGATGGTCTCTAGGTACTAAAGGTCTCTAGGTACTGAAGGTCTCTAGGTACTGATGGTCTCTAGGTACTGATGGTCTCTAGGTACTGTTGGTCTCTAGGTACTGATGGTCTCTAAGTACTAAAGGTCTCTAGGTACTGATGGTCTCTAGGTACTGAAGGTTCTAGGTACTAAAGGTCTCTAGGTACTGATGGTCTCTAGGTACTGATGGTCTCTAGGTACTGAAGGTTCTAGGTACTGATGATCTCTAGGTACTGAAGGTCTCTAGGTACTGAAGGTCTCTAGGTACTGAAGGTCTCTAGGTACTGATGGTCTCTCTAGGTACTGATGGTCTCTAGGTACTGATGGTCTCTAGGTACTGAAGGTCTCTAGGTACTGAAGGTTCTGGGTACTGATGGTCTCTAGGTACCGATGGTCTCTAGGTACTAAAGGTCTCTAGGTACTGAAGGTTCTAGGTACTGATGGTCTCTAGGTACTGATGGTCTCTAGGTACTGAAGGTCTCTAGGTACTGATGGTCTCTAGGTACTGATGGTCTCTAGGTACTGAAGGTCTCTAGGTACTGAAGGTTCTAGGTATGGATGGTCTCTAAGTACTAAAGGTCTCTAGGTACCGATGGTCTCTAGGTACTGATGGTCTATAGGTACTAAAGGTCTCTAGGTACTGATGGTCTCTAGGTACTGAAGGTTCTAGGTACTGATGGTCTCTAGGTACTGATGGTCTCTAGGTACTGATGGTCTCTAGGTACTGAAGGTTCTAGGTACTGATGGTCTCTAGGTACTGAAGGTCTCTAGGTACGGAAGGTTCTGGGTACTGATGGTCTCTAGGTACTGATGGTCTCTAGGTACTGAAGGTCTCTAGGTACTGAAGGTTCTAGGTACTGAAGGTTCTAGGTACTGATGGTCTCTAGGTACTGAAGGTCTCTAGGTACTGAAGGTTCTAGGTACTGATGGTCTCTAGGTACTGAAGGTTCTAGGTACTGAAGGTTGGTATGATGGTCTCTAAGTACTAAAGGTCTCTAGGTACTGATGGTCTCTAGGTACTGAAGGTTCTAGGTACTGATGGTCTCTAGGTACTGATGGTCACTAGGTACTGATGGTCTCTAGGTACTGAAGGTTCTAGGTACTGAAGGTTCTAGGTACTGATGGTCTCTAGGTACTGAAGGTTCTAGGTACTGATGGTCTCTAGGTACTGAAGGTCTCTAGGTACTGATGGTCTCTAGGTACTGAAGGTCTAGGTACTGAAGGTTCTAGGTACTGAAGGTCGAATGCTAACAAAACGTTTTTATGTCTTTATCGGCAAAAGAAAGTTTCCTTAATCTATGTTCAGCTGAATGATAAACAGGCGGTATAGTTTTTACAGTTTTCAGTTTTTCAAGGTCCTGTTAATGTCTAACATCCTTTCACTGCCAGTTGTTGATCACTCCAGCAGTGTGAACATCTGTATCCTGTCAGACAACAACCATCACATGCAAAAGCAGTTGGTTAAATTTCAACATAAGTCACAACTCCTCATTTGTAAGTAAATATCTTGGGTCTTTATTTGATACTTTTTCATAACTATACATATCTTATTTATGAAAATATGATATATATATATATATATATATATTATACCAACAAATAGATGACGTCTGACTAATTGATAAAAAGGTCTATATAACATGATATGAGTATGGACACATTCTAAGTTATACTAGTAGCATGTATACATTTCACTATGCAATATGGAATGGATGCTATAGTTCTTCTAGTGTCTCTCTCTGCTAGCTAAATCTCTCTCACAACAAAACATAATGCCTCGTACAAGTTATAATAAGAAAAGAACAACACATCACATGATTTCACTATTCAGATCTAAGACTGGATGGACTCTAGCTATCCAAATTCACTTTATTGCATACAATATCATTTACTGACACAGTGCTATCAGTCCCCAGACACTACCAGACTTCCATACATTTATCCAACCTTGCTACACACAAATATCATATCGGTCTATCATGTCTCCATTATCTCCCTTTCACAACTGCCTGAGGAATCATAGCACTCTGTAGGTAAAATATATACTCTCATATGGAATCAATGTACAAATCAACAAAATATCCCTTAAATAATTAATGCATTCACAGTTGAAATATCAAACTATTTATGATCTATCATACAGAACTGCCCAAATACCCTAAGTAGTGGGAGTTCCAAACACTTGTTACAGAAAATTCTGTAACATCATCACATCATCAAATGTCAATATCATCTACATTCAACAAAATGTTCAACATCATCAACAAATAAATCAATCATAAGTAAACCAAAAAAGTAAATATACTTTAACTTGTCAGTTAACCGAGTGGTATACATATGTTTCTTAAACATTCCTTAGCATTTTCTTCATAAAATAACTAAAATTAAAGAAATTTTTAACTATTTTCTTCCAATAAAATGCTTCTCAATAGTAAATTTGAGGAAAATGGATGAAACATGACCAGAGTATGTATACGAAACTAATGAAACCATCAACAGAAAACAGGGAACCTAAAAGGTCCTTCTGAAACTGGGACCAGTTTATATAAGGAACTGTGAAAGGTTAACCTGGTGAGTCAATGACCAGAGTACAATCTGGGAACTGTGACAGGTTAACCTGGTGAGTCAATGACCAGAGTACAATCTGGGAACTGTGACAGGTTAACCTGGTGAGTCAATGACCAGAGTACAATCTGGGAACTGTGACAGGTTAACCTGGTGAGTCAATGACCAGAGTACAATCTGGGAACTGTGACAGGTTAACCCGGCGAGTCAATGACCAGAGTACAATCTGGGAACTGTGACATGTTAACCCGGTGAAACAATTGCCAGAGTACTTACACGGAACCTTGACAAGTTGAGGCAATGACCACAGTACATACAGGAAACTGTGACGAGTTATCCTAGTAAAACTGTGACCAGAGTACATACTGGTAACTGTGACGAGTTGTCCTAGTAAAACTGTGACCAGAGTACATACTGGTAACTGTGACGAGTTGTCCTAGTAAAACTGTGACCACAGTACATACAGGAAACTGTGACGAGTTGTCCTAGTAAAACTGTGACCAGAGTACATACTGGTAACTGTGACGAGTTGTCCTGATGAAACTGTGATCATGGTACATACATGGAACAGTGACAGGTTGTCCAAATCAACCCTAAACATGACTACTTACATTGTATGATGGGTTATGCTGTTAGGTTGATCAGTTTAATTGCAGTTTTGCATAGATAATGAGAGACATATGAATGTATTGTTTCATACTAGTTTACTTGAAATAATGCTGTACAAATATGACACAGGGGAGATAACCCTTGTTGAATCTGCCAGTGCAATGTGAAGGGCTATCTATAACACCAAAACTATGGGGAAAACCTTCCACAATTACATATGCTGCATTATGTTAAAAAAGGCAACAACTTATAGAAAGGTTAATAATGTCAAATTAGTATAATTTTTTTTTATTAGACTAGATGTAAACATGCTGCTCAATCCTCTGGTTATAACAATAGGCTGTCTGCTGGTCAGAAAAAAATAAAAGAACATTTCTTACAGGGTAAAATCGGTCTCTGGAATGACTACAGTGTGGATCACAATAAGGTCAATCTGTTCAAATCTCACTCAATTAACATTCTCCTGTTACATCCTCATAGGTCACACTTAAATATTTCTATTTCCTGATAACTTTAAAAGATTCCATAAGCTCTGCTTTTTGTTCTCAGTAAATATATGCTGACAAGTTTATCTTTCACCTGTATGGATGATATCCATTTAGTTCACCATTCCTCAGCAATAATGTTCAATGCTTACCTTTAGATTTGTTATATTCTGTTGTCCTAAATAGATTCTGATTAGATTTAAACCAAAATAAGTTATTATTTATCAACTTTTCATTTTTTAATATTGAACAGCCACTTGACAATGATATGTGGCAGACTAAGTGGCTAAACTGTAAAATAGATATGATTCTATAAAATCTTGATGGAGGCACTTTGACTCCTTTATATCATACTTTTCCCCTATTAGTCTTTACAGTACATATGCACAACAGCTAGTACATGCACATATATACCACAGGTTGTATACACATGTATACCAAAATAATGTATATACCAGCAGTACACTAACAGGTATGCAAGGTGTATACACATGTATACCATAGGTACATACACATGTACATTAAAGTACACATGTACACAGAAAGGACACATGTACACTAAAACACATCTATGCAATGGTACAAGCAAGAATACCTGTATCTACTGATAGGCACCACACACGAATACCGATCTCTACTGATAGGCACCACATATAAATACCTGTATCTAGTGATAGGCACCACATATAAATACCTGTATCTACTGATAGGCACCACAGATAAATACCTGTATCTACTGATAGGCACCACATATAAATACCTCTATCTATTGATAGGCACCACATGTAAATACCTGTATCTACTGATAGGCACCACATATAAATACCTGTATCTACTGATAGGCACCACGTATAAATACCTGTATCTACTGATAGGCACCACAGATAAATACCTGTATCTACTGATAGGCACCACATATAAATACCTGTATCTACTGATAGGCACCACATATAAATACCTGTATCTACTGATAGGCACCACATATAAATACCTGTATCTACTGATAGGCACCACATATAAATACCTGTATCTACTGATAGGCACCACATATAAATACCTGTATCTACTGATAGGCACCACATATAAATACCTGTATCTACTGATAGGCACCACAGATAAATACCTGTATCTACTGATAGGCATCAGCTTTGTACTGCATTAAATACGATCACTATTTGACATGGTTAAACATAATATAGTTATACACATTTACTTCCATATTATGTTCTCTAATACACAAATTTGCCAATTTTTGCTCATCATGTACAACTAATACACAATAAATATATCACCCTGAGCAAGATTACATTTCTCTTATAATGATATTTTTATGTACAAATCTATACAAATTACCATACAAATATGTTTTCTTACATAAAATGTACATTCTTGTTTACCACAATAGTTAAGCCATACAAACTTCCTTTGTCACCATTTACACAACACATGTCCTTCTGAAGGACCCTTCCTTGGGTATTCTAAACTTTTGGAGCTAATTCAAAGAAGTAAATGTTTAAGGCTTAATGCACCATTCAACCCCAAATTTAAGAGCTTCTTGCAAGCTCTAACAAATGTGCCTCTGTCAAAGAGTTCCTACAGACAGAATTTGAAAAGTATATAAACACAAATTTGTTAATAAGTCCCAACTTTACTGTAAGATTTCTCCATTCAAGAGCTTCTTTAGACAGAGCACCCTATTAAAGAACACCTTCAGAGCCCCTTGTTTTTGGGCTCCTACAGATGGAGCCTCCTGCTCAAGAGCACCTTCAGACAGAGCACCCTGTTAAGAGCCCCAACAGACAGAGTTCCCTTTTCATGAGCTCACCCACATTGAACAATCTTTTCAAGAGCTTTAACAGACAAAGCACAATAATGTTTTAAAAGATATTTCTGTATGTCACAGCTGAAGTTTATACAAGATATTTCTGTATGTCACAGCTGAAGGTTATACAAGATATTTCTGTATGTCACAGCTGAAGGTTATACAAGATATTTCTGTATGTCACAGCTGAAGGTTATACAAGATATTTCTGTATGTCACAGCTGAAGGTTATACAAGATATTTCTGTATGTCACAGCTGAAGGTTATATAAGATATTTCTGTATGTCAAAGTCATATGTTATATAACATATCTTATATGTCACAGTCATATGTTAAACAAGCTATTTCTGTATGTCAAAGTCATATGTTATACAAGATATTTCTGTATGTCAAAGTCATATGTTATATAACATATCTTATATGTCACAGTCATGTTAAACAAGCTATTTCTGTATGTCATACTCATATGTTATACAAGATATTTCTGTATGTCAAAGTCATATGTTAAACAAGCTATTTCTGTATGTCAAAGTCATATGTTATACAAGATATTTCTGTATGTCAAAGTCATATGTTAAACAAGATATTTCTGTATGTCAAAGTCATATGTTAAACAAGATATTTCTATATGTCAAAGTCATATGTTAAACAAGATATTTCTATATGTCACACACATTTTAAGTCCACAATATGTGTCTCTCACTCAAAGGAAATATATAAAATATATCTATATATATATTGCACTATACTATAAGAGAATGTGATAACACCATTCATATCTCTTCCATCCTCTTGACAAAGCCTGTATCAAATACAATCCACAAATACAAACGGATATACAAAATTGCTCACAGCTACATGTTTCTCATAAAATACACATGCATGTACATAGCTCACTATATATACTGGTAATATATAATGTAATAGAAGTTAATTTCTATATAACATATGTATTGTAAATGTTTGTTCTCATCAAAATACAAGAATAACGACCTGCTACATTGTTTTTCCTCTGAAATTGCCTTTTTCCATGTCTGACCTACTAGACTATCACCAGTAGTTAAAATGCTGACTTTTTTCTTTACAAATCATGATTTTTTAATCACGTAAATAAAAATCAAAACAGTATCTTCAATACCTTCAATTTATGTTAAGTGTATTTTGAAGTAAAAAATAAACATTTAACAACTGCCAATTTTCCTTGTTTTGATAAAATATAAACAAATATGGATATATCACAAGTTAACTTTCCAATAAAAAACAAGCTTGTAAAAACAGCAATAAACGCTTTGATCTGCATACAAACGTTTGACATTGTTTTGTGAAAAATAACTAGCTTATCATATATGAAATTTAGGTGGGAAATAAAAATACAAAACAAAAAAATGCATATTTCAAGTTGTTGAAAAATAATATCAATATAGTTTATATCACAATCCGACTTTTAATACAAAAGAAACCAGTAATATATTGCACTGGTATGTTATATGGGAAAATGCTCAAAATAGTACAATATGTGTAAAAATGGCAAGGAAAAGAAGAACATAGCAGAATTTTAATATATTTCCATGAATACATATACAAGATTGGAAATAATGGTTAAGCGACAAAATGTTAAAAACTGCAGAATGTTAAATCTGAAGATGACAAAATGAAGACAATCTTAATGAAAAAGAGCATGAGCTCACCTAAACATGTGTATATATATATATATAGTCCCGACCCAGCACCCTGTGATAGTATTCATGTACAAAAGCTGAAACAGGATCAGAGGTTTGTGCGTTATAGGAGAGATGAACTTGATAGTTCGACAAACTCTATCAGAACTCAAAGCAGGATCAGAGGTTTGTGCGTTATAGGAGAGATGAACTTGATAGTTCGACAAACTCTATCAGAACTCAAAGCAGATACTGGCTTTAAAATCATCTTTTCTATACAGGACAATATGCATTAATCTTTTTTTTTAAAATAAACTTTACATCTGTACAAGACATAAAATGTGTCCCATGAAAACAGTCTATAAGGGAAGCATATTTTCAACTCTTTTCCTTTAAAAACATGGGAAGAAACCTAAGGACCATCATTTTATAAGCAATCCAAGTTGTAACAAATTACTATATAAGTTTGTTAGCATCACTTTGTATTGAAAATAATATGGAAAGTTATTTTTTTGTTTAGTACTACAAAAGAAATATCAGCATAAATATTGTGACATGAGCTTATTCTTAAGTGATCTCTTACTTGTTTAAAAATCAACAGTCTATCTTTGAATATTCTTTGTGTTGTAACAACATATTTCAGAAAGAAAAAAAAAAGAATACAGCTAATATGCGACAGCTAACACATACAACAATAATAATATGTAACCATTAAAACATAGCAAATGTGACAGCTGACACATAAAGCACAGCCAATGTGACAACAAACACAAAGCACAGTCAATGTTACAATTGACACACAAAGCACAGTCAATGCGAACAGCTGACACAAAACACAGTTAATGTGACAGCTGACACAAAGCACAGCCAATGCGACAATTGACATACAAAGCACAGTCAATGCGAATGGCTGACACAAAACACAGCCAATGAGACAGTGGACACAAAGCACAGTCAATGTGACAATTGACACATAAAGCACAGCCAATGTGACATCTGACACAAAGCACAGCCAATGTGACAATTGACACATAAAGCACAGCCAATGTGACATCTGACACAAAGCACAGCCAATGTGACATCTGACACAAAGCACAGCCAATGTGACAATTGACACATTAGAAAGAACCAATCAAATCATCCACACTACCAGAAAGCACGGAAAGGATAACTGATATTTTTTCATTGTCATACAAAAATAGATAAAAACTTTTGAAGAAAGATTACGCAAAGCATATTTGAATATAAGTCTGAGATATCAAATATGAGTACTTTCATCTCAACAGAGATAGTATCAAGCTCATTGTAACATTAAGCACCAATACCAACTATCATTAGAGTTCATATGTAACATCACTTGACTGTGAAATTCTTCATTAGTGAAAAATAACGAGTAAAAGACATGAGTTTATCCCAACAAAGTCTGAAGAAGGTAACCTAAAAACAAAGACTGATGAGGGTTACCTAAACCATAAGTCTGCAGAGGGTTACCTAAAAACAAAGGCTGAAGAGGATTACCTAAAAACAAAGGCTGAAGAGGGTTACCTAAAAACAAAGACTGAAGAGGTTACCTAAAAGCAATGTCTGAAGAGGGTTACCTAAAAACAAAGTCTGAAGAGGGTTACCTAAAAACAAAGACTGAAGAGGTTACCTAAAAGCAATGTCTGAAGAGGGTTACCTAAAAACAAAGTCTGAAGAGGGTTACCTAAAAATAAAGGCTGAAGAGGGTTACCTAAAAACAAAGTCTGAAGAGGGTTACCTAAAAATAAAGGCTGAAGAGGGTTACCTAAAACAAAGTCTGATGAGGGTTACCTAAAACCAAATCTGAAGAGGGTTACCTTAAAAACAAAGTCTGAGGTAAATTACCTAAAAAGAAAGTCGAAATAGGGCTACCAAAAAAATCTAAAAAAAAGGATATCTAAAAACAAAGTTTGAAAAGGGTTGTCGAAAAACAAAGACTGAAAACGGTTACCTAAAATCGAATTTGAAGAGGGTTACCTAAAATCAAATCTGAAGAGAGTTACATAAAAACAAAGCCTAAAGAAATTTACCTAAAAGCAATGCCTGAAGAGGGTTACCTAAATACAAAGTTTGAGGAAAATTACCTAATAACAATGTCTAAAGAGAGTTATCTCTACCTACCAAATGTGGCATTGTTTGATGACAGTAGCAAACAGAAAGTCTTTATTTCCTGATCTACAGCTACATTGTAAAGAAATACAATGTTTACAATATTGGTAACTAAAATATGAAACAGGAATATGATTTGGCTGGCATGTAAAATACTGATGTAAAATAAGAGTATAATCCTCACAATATGTGTCTAACATGTGAAACAAGAAAGTTTTTTGAACAAAAGACACTGGCATCTGAAACTTTGGGAGAAATGTATGATACATTATTGGCAGGATTCATCTAAAGATGTGGAACAGTCTACATACTACTTTAATAGTCTTGGCAGGACATAAAAACACAATTTTGATTTCAAAATCAGATAGAATACCATCTGTTGTTAAACACATCAGAAAGATTGTATTCAGTAACAAATAGAGGTATTTATATTAGCACAGAGGGAACATAAACATAAAATGTCTAAAAACTCAACAAAGTTTAAAAAAAAAAAAAGAATAAGCAAAAACTTTCACTGTCATGCGATGCCTATTGTTTCCTTTAGTGGCTTTTGGCTGATATTTCTATCATTAGAGTTATGTCCCCTTCCACTGGAGATTTTTGGTGGAATCATATGCTGTGTCGCTATGAGTTCAGGTGAGTATCTGTCCAGCATGCCTTGCCTGAATGGAATCCCATGCGAAATAGCATGAGTCCAGGAAGCGTTTGATATCCCAGTCAAGTCACCAATATTTTGTGGCACACTCCGATGATTGTCGACAGAGGCAGTTACACCTGGGTAACCAGAAAAGGCCAATTGTGCGTCCAAGTCAAAACTTTCACTATGCCAACTGAATGGTCGATTGGAGTGTGATGATACCATAGTACTACTAGGGTAACAGGATGACAGTCGCCTAGGGTCAAGGTCACTGGACAACCTGTGTGAGATTCGTGAATCTGTTGATTGTATTGTAGATGAATCGTAAGAGCCACTTAGATTACCATTTTGACTGTTTGTGCCCATAAGGGATTTGTCCTTGCATAGTGCCATCATTAGTGGTATTGCAAACATATTTTGACCAAGTATTTTCTCCTTCAGTTCCGGATGTAATGTTTCCTTTTTCTTGTTTCCTGTTCTTGGTTTCTGTGGAAGACTGTCTGACAAGGAAGTATCTGGAGATGACTGTTGCAGACAAAAGAAAAAAAAAATAAATATGAATAACCTTATTAAATTATTAAAGAGAACAATTGCAAGATTATAAAATTTATGGAAAATTTTAAAATATATTCTGAGTTAATCAATGCTTTCGCATAAAATTAAGTACTATCACAGCAATTAACTTCATCGCACTTTGTTAAAAAGTATCCATACCTCTAAGTCCTCATCCAGATTTGTTTCCATGTAGCGCCTTTGTTCAGATGGGGGTTGGGACACCTGGGGGTCTTGACCTAAATTTAACACAGCACTTGTGTCCAACACAGGGGAGGAGTCCCCTAAGTTAACATGGCCAGACGAGTCAGCAAACATTGGTGGAGGGGCTAACAGTTCATGTGCTTGAAGTGTCATCTCACTGCCCTCTACATAGGCATTACTGGATTCTACAGTTCGATTTGAGGGCATAAAGTTGGACATTTGTAACCTGTGTGGAAGGCCAGCCTCTAGACCACACTGGTTCTGCTGATAGGCACCAGCTAGATTTACATTGCCAGAAAACATGTCCATCATTTGGTCACTTAGTCCAGAGTCCAGCTGAAGATGGGGCAGCTGGCTGTCACTGGTGTGTATTTGTAACTGGCCCAGCGTGCCCTTGAAACTGTCTGCCCGACTGGTGCTTCGACTGACTGGCTGTGAGTAGGAGATACGTTCAGGCATCGGGGCTCCCCCACTTGATGATGGTGTGTGTGCAGGTGCCATATATATGGGTACTGTCCTGGGGCTGAATTGTGGCGGGTGGATATGTTGTTGAGACATTCTACGGTACCCCTCACCCCCTGATGGGGAGAAATCTATATCTGACTGATGTCCACTAAGAGGGAAAGCCCCAACAGATGACGACCCTGGTGACCTCTTGTCTGTCCCATGTTTAGATGAGGGTGAGAGCTGTTGAGGACGTGGTATAGATGGGGAATGGTCTCCAGGTTTAGACCCACCTGGACGTCCCACTGATGAAGATTTGTACAATTCTGTAGGTCCCACCTCCATCCCAGAACTTCCATTCTTGTTTGATTTGTAGTCTGGAAAAGAAAAAAAAATTGTTACTGCATGGAGTCAAGTTCACATATAAAACTGTCACAGTAAGGTAGACATGACATGGGAGAGGATGAAGACAGCTTGCCAGCTTCAGTTGATAGGAAGTTCTTATTACCCTAGTAGCAGGAGGTTTAATAAAGAGATCACTATGTGGGATTCTGGCAAACTTGATTTTTTTTCAATTACTTGAATTATTCCTATTGCAGATTTGGTGTTTATTCATTGTGTAGGCTGTATGAGACTGAGAGACTTTGTGAAAGTATACGATGCAGAATGTAATTTTGCTGTAGAGCAGCACTCATATACTTACTTGGCAGAGTAGACACAGACACACCATCCCGTGACACTACTGAGTACTTGGAACGGGATTGACTAGGAGGTGTCAGTCGGCTCATTGGTCTAGGAGGACAGTCTATCAATATCTCTCTTGATGGATCTGTATATGAATACATAAATAAGGAATTAACAAGGTTATACAATTTTTATTATTTTGATTACACTGCAAAGGAGAATATGTCAAAACAGGTTTAACCACTTTTTCGATTAAATTCATCAAATTTTCTAGGTTGTACCAGTTAACAAAAGATTTCTTCAAAAAGACCTAGCTGTTAGTACATGGGAATCTCCAAACATAATCAATCTATCAAAAAGCTCACTATTTTGAGTTTTGATATAAAGCTTTTCTTTATTATGACTATAACTGGTCTTGAGAACAGATACTGAATGTAGTTCCAGAAGGAAGTATTACCATCCTCCCCCTCAAAACTGATGGTCATCTTGTCACTGGCAATGCCAGATGTGGTGTTGGAGCTGGCATCACTTATGACTGAGTAACGAGGGTTGGTACTTGAGGACTTGCTGGCAGGGGACAAACTCCCCCTGAAGGAACCTCCATTGGCCATGTAGTCCTTTGTGTCACTGTATATGTATGCTTCATTGTATCTCTTTTTGTCTGCAACAGAGTTAAACATGGACTTAAGAATTAGAAATCTATAGACAAGAAGAGGTGTAACACTGTCCATAAGCTTATTAAGAACAATCTGACCAATCTTAATTGTTTTCTTTTATGATCAATATATACTGAGTTACTGTCTGACTACTGAAATTTAGAGTTATCACCCCTGTCTTAGTAACATTCTAAACACAAGTGTAAGTTCTGAACATTGCTTGATCAATAAAAAGCATGAATGAGAAAAGCTAGAAATAATATCTTAAGTAATTGTATGAAATTTCAAAGTAACCATTTTACCAAAACACTTGCTCTGAGATGTCACATTCAGACATCGAGCTAGGAACTGCCAGTTGCTGTCTACAACAATCTTACTTCTGCCAGAGGTTAATGTCTACAACAATCTTACCTTCTGCGTCGAGGTGCTGTATTTCCATGAGTTTGGACTGAATGGCCATCTGGAACATGTGTGTGGTGCGACAGATGTACAGTAAGTACTTGGATGTGTTATCACAGTCAGTGTAGTAGGTAAACTTCCGCCCTGCAGGGTTACCTACTGATCTAATCTCAAACTTCTTTTTCTGTAAAATAACAACGATACTTTCTTTTCAAAACTTTCTCCGGCTTCAAAACTATTCGAAAGTTAATTACATCACAATAAATCACACATTTCATACCTAAACTTTGTCTAAACAATCAGTAGCAGATAGGATGTTGTTTTAATGAATACATAGAAAGTAATCATTATTATCATTTATATTTTAAAAAGAGGACTACAAGAGTTAGACTTATTAAACTGTTATAAAGAATGTCTCCTACAGGTAACAAACAAAATGTAAGTAACAACTTACATCAAAATATAATTTTCCTATGTCTGGCCACAGGAAAGTAGAAATCAAATCTTTCAAATGGCCTTCAAGTTCCTGAAACAATGAAAAAAACGTTACATAAATTTTCAATCCTTAACTAACATTCTTCTGTAATTTTGACTTTGAAATCAAATACAATGCAGTAGACTGAACAAGGGAGATAACACACACATATTAAAATATCTCTATCCATAATGTAACTCTCAGGATCACAAGTACACACATATATCTAAAATTTGTTGGTCCTACAGCCATTGCACTTACCATGTTCACTATTCTAGTGATATGTTCCCTATACACTTAAACAATGCAGAGTCTAACCCGTTCTCAATGGACTTTAATGCTACTGATGAAAATCTATCAAATATAAACTTCAATTTAAATTTCTCATTACTACTACAGCAGAATTGATTACTTTCCAATTTTACCTCATAAATCTCTATGCCACGTGCACAAATGCCTAGCCAGGCATTCCATCGTTTGTCCGTTTTCCTTTTTCGCAGGCGGTAGAAGTGGAGATTATGGGCAGCGGGAGATAGAGATGCTTCCTTGATAAATCGTAGTTTGGCTTCTGACTTGGTCAGATTTTGCAGATCTTGGTGTATAAGTGGAGTATTTTTTTGTATATAGGAACCACCTCTCTGCTGGATCATCTACAAATCAGATCTATATACTATAAGATACTTGTAGAAAATATTACAGGTTAGAAATAAATCCTACATATAACCATTTGAACATATATACAATTTTAACACCATCAGTACAATTTGTCATTCTTTGCCAAACTGTTTACACTAGAAATAGTCACACAAAGTTAAATTTATACAACTATTTACCCAAGCTGGGAAGTATTCCCTAGGGTCAAAGTAATCGTCACCATGTCGGTCAGGAAAGTAATTGCCAAAATCAGCCTGGAGAGCAAAGGATGCAATCTGGAAACACTTCTCCTCCGTACAAACATGGTCATAGTTGAGGATGTTTTCCCTCAGTTGTAGGTAATACAGATGCCGTGTCACATTCTCCCTATGAAATGTAAGTTTTATACATTGATACAGCAGTGTTTCACACCTTCACCCATAATAACAACTGTAAAGACAAGCAATAATTGTAAAATGATTCAAGTAAATTTTATAACACAATGTACTAGATGTCCAAATCTTTGTCAGTCATATCAAACTTCAAATGTGCAAGATGACATTATGCATGTCTTACATAAAATAAGTTCATCAATCATAGGTTAGAAAGAGAGAAAACTAGTTTTTCTTTTCAGCAAATAAACGAAGCCAGTTGTATAATGTGTGAGAATACAGAATAGATTAATCTTTCATTCAGTAATTTCAAAAACTAATCTCAAACAAAAGCAATGAGTAGAAAATCGTGGTTCATACAAACATGGGCCTCATATGTCCATAACTAGAGATAGAAGGAATGGTATCATAATGACACTGATCCAACTGACTTCAATGTCCTATATCATACTGGTAGTAAGCACACACAGCAGTGTCATTTATAAGACTGTAATGGTCATGAATGCAATTCTACTAAAACATGCAGCAGAAGTGCAAATAAAACTTTATTTTTTTTTTCATCAAACGTGATTGCTGATTAAAGACCCTGCACAATTTGAGCTAGTAATGATTGTTTTAATAGATGTACAAATGACATTGACAAATAACCTTTTGTTTCACGTCAGCAATGCCAGGTTAATCTTACCTCAACAGGACGACTTGGTCAACATAAAACTGCACTTTGAAGTACACAGTAAAAACAGGCTGGCCCAATGCATCAAAACCCTGTAAACGTTATATAACCTTATGTAGGTTTATGAATATAAAAAATGCAAACATATATACACGAAACATAATACAATAATTAACAGTAAAATCAATATTCTGTTAACAATTGTGTAAGGTACTAGTCACTGATCAGACATTAATTAAAGGAGTTCTTGTTAATTGTTAAAGTCCACTAAGAAACATGTCTTTCAACCAAAAATTAATTAAGATATTCCGATCTCTATTGAAGAGGTCCTGAATTGTTTCATGTAACCTAACACCCTAAATATATACAGGCTGTAGTACTTTCTCTGACACTCGACATAACTTTACAGCTTCCGTGAGTACACCTTCTCAAAAGTAACACCTTAAAAACCTTCTCAAAAGTAACACCTTAAAAACCTTATCAAGAGTAACACCCTAAGTCTTATTCTTCTCCTTCATCAAATAAAGTTCATCTAAAGGAACTGTATATTTAACAGGAAGACATTATAGCATAATGCATCTCATCAGGCAAAGGCAGTCATGTATCATATTGATGTTGAAATATGATTTTTAAGAAGCCAACATTTTTTAGTAATTAGGTATTAAGAGCTATTATTAAGTAATGATACAATAATATGATAAAGACGTGGCTATTATCTTTACCATAGAACCAGGTCAATCAACACCCACCCTAAATGATATATATATCAACAGAAACTTCAAACAGAAATCTGAATGACTTTTTAATATGTTGGAAATTATCTGTGTGTATAACTACCTCTCCATGACTCGACTTCCATGCTTTTGGTGCTTGCTTGTGAATTTTTTCCTCCAGAGTGACAAATTGGTATTCACCGTCTGCAAATAGAGAGACATAAAATTGATATAAAGTGGAATTCCTGAAATCTAGTCATGCATAGTAATTGGAAAATACTTATGATATCAATGGAAAAAAGCTTCATCTGCAATAGTGCATGAAATTACTATAAAGAATACAGGTATTTAATACTGATCTGTTAGAACTTCCTTCACTGGTCATGATCAACAGATCCTACCCTTACTATCTGCTACCCATTTAATGATAGGAGGTTCACATCTTTACAAATTCAAATCATATTCACAAATTATGGAGGGGTGGTACACTTGGCAAAATTTGATATGAAGAGATGTACATATTGTTAACATACCTTATATGGTAAAATCAAATGTTAGCTCATTATCACTTTTTGTCAATTTAGCCCAAAGATGAATTCCTACATCCATCATGAATGCCATATAATATATCATAATATCATATATGTATTTTAGTGCAATACTTACTGCATTAAAAGTGGTAAAATATGATTACTGCTACAATTTGTTTATTTACAGTATACCATTGTTTATATAACTTCTTCACATGTATTTAGCCTCATAAGTTGTAAATGAATTCTTGTACAGTTACATCACACTTTTTTATGGGTTTATCACCATGTAAAGAGCCACGGGTCATTTTGAAGCAGACAGGCCTGTCACATGCATTCAAACCCAACTGATTGATTGATTGAATGATTGACAGGTTTTCTGTATCAGTGCCTCTTCCTATGTCCGGGTATTGTCTCATCGACGAACGTCAGTGTTCTAGCTGTGTGAGGGGGTGACCTGCATCCCCCTCAATTGGGTGGAACCGTCTGTAGCAGTTAACATTTAATTATACTAGTTTTAGAAGATAGCTCCAGGGCCTAATAGTACTTTATCCTAACTCTAGTAGTTGAAACATGTCCAGAAGCTGAAAGGACGAGTTGGGAGCCTATCTAGATTTGGTTTGTGTTACTGTAATTTTGAAGTCTAACGCCTTAAACATAACTGACACTATCCCTAGACCTCTGGACTGGCGTTATCACACCTACTCTTTTTCTAAAAGCCAAAGAGAGATCTTTAGCATTGGAGATTAGACAATCCACATGGACCACCGTTTAAAGTCCCATCCATCGGACTATGGTGAGTGGTTAGTGGTTAGATTGGTAGAGGTGCAATTATAGTTATCACTTGTTATATTGTTGTCCCGTCTTGAAACCTTTCCGATCATATTAACTGAGCTTCTTTATCACTTTACAAATGTCTATTGCTTTCTCTGATTCCACTCCATTCCTTCTGTATACATCTCCTCACTATACCAATTTACATAATTATATATGTGATTTGTGTGAATGTGCAGAATTAGAAGGGGTTATGAGAGGTTTTCCGCATAATAAGTTACATTTAAGTACAAAGTGTAATAATAGGCTGAGAATATCTACGATAGGTTTAAAGTTTTTAAACACAGAGAGATTCGTTGCACATGCATGGGTAGAACAGTTGGATTATGTTTAAGGCTATGTGTTTAGCAGGAGTAATGTGTTAATTCTAACTGGTTACATCTTGAGTTTAGATAGAGAGGAATTAAGGTGTCTAATCTAACCTATATACGATTATATACATCCCGCAGTTTGAGTAGAAGTACTATTTATATAAGCGTGAGATGGGATGGGGGTGGTGGGGGGGTGGGGGCCGGGGGCTTTTATAATGTTTAGTTGGTTTGTATGCTTGTGTTGTATGAATGGTTTTGTGTTGAGTAAAATTTTGAGATTCTACATTTCAAGATAACAGGTATTGGTGTTGTGTTTGCTTTTTGACCCTCTAGCAAGTGTTGAATAAATAGTTCTGTATAAAAATTATCAAGACATGTTTATTCCCATTGCCCTACCCAACAGGGTTCCATATGCTACAAGCCAGGGTACAAGATCCGAATCCGACTTTAAACCAGTCCATGACCGTTGTACCCTGAGGTTCCCTTTATGTTTAAACTGTACTGGACATAGGGCCTTCAATGTGGAGTTTGTTTGTGTATTTTTCAACATATTGAGTCATAAGTACAACAAATATTTTAAAAAGGGCGCGTTTATTTATGTGTGTTGTTTTATTTATGTGTACAGTTTCAGCAACAAGAATTTCACTTGGAATCTCTGGGGGACACAATTGCCTTCAATGTGTGTGTAGACTTTTTTAAAAATGTGACATTTTTGGGTTTTACGTGTATAAAGACACAATCACAATACAGGACAGACTGTGATCTTGTCATTCTAAGAAATACAAAACTGTCCAAGAAGGGATTAAACAAAACACTTGAGATGTCTCACTGATGACGAGAAATTTTTGTGCTTATATACATATCAACACATAATTCAGACCGATTACTTTTACGTATTACTGTCCAATTAAACTTGTATACAGCTGTGAACAGTTACAAAATATGGGTAGGAAGGTATTAATTTTGACAATACAAACAAGTAAAATATAACCTAGCAGTGATTCAGTGTGTATTCATCTGTCATGTTTACCATGCCAGACAGAGATTCCTAATTCTACTTTCTTCTGCAGCACTACACGTCCCATAAAACACTCCCCATAAAAACACTCCAGGAGATAGAGAGCTAACATGAGAAGTGTTTCCCACACACATTAGAATTCTTAGCAAAAACTCATTCTGGTGTAAGATCATGATTAGTTAATTAAAGCCGGCTTGTTCACAGACACAATAAACAATGATACCTTTCTTCTGCGCCAATCCAAAATACTCAGTTTCACGCAGATTCAGGTGCCCTGTCACTTGATTGAACACATCCTGAAATTTTGATTTTACCTGAAAATAGAAAACAACAAATGGTATTTTTCAACTGGTACATCTATTTTTGTTAACTTTTGGCTGGTGTATGACTGCTACTACACTTCCTATCCTCCTATCCCCAGCATCATTTTACTGCCATAGAATAAAAACAGAAGGTATTGAAATGAACAATATTTCATTAATATTCACATACTAACATCTATCATAAATTGATGGCAAATGATTATATATTTCAGTGTTTCAAGAAAGCTTTAAATCTTTTTTTTTTTTTAGATTTTGAAAAAGCTTCTTATTATAACCATGTTTCAAAGTCAGATTTTGAAATATGACTGTACCAAACTGAGTGCAATCTTAAGAGGATGACACATATGAATGTCATTTCTAGAATTGGAAGTAATACACAAATTTTATCTCTACATCAAAGCTTGGTACTTTTATTTGAATTGTAATCAACCATCAACCAGGACACTTGTTAACACAAGTCAAAGTTAGTCTTTTAAAACTCCAACCACGAGCTGTACTTTGCCTCACTACAAAATAACCAGTGATATACGAACATGTGATTCCTATTAACCGCATAGTTGTGTGAAGGATTTAATTATGATGTAGTGTGGTGTAATGGAAATCTCTCCCTACGCCTGAAACATCTGTTGGTAAATTACTATATCTACTTATCACCATCTACAACAATTATAAAACTCCTCGGCCAGATCTAGGCAATCATGTCAAATCATGTCCCTTTTTCAAAAATAAATACCTCTCTGATGGTTTATATAAATCTATTATAAACACCTAAAACAAATCTTAAATTTAATTGTTAAAGATTATGAAAATAACAATATAAACAGAACAATATGGTAGATTAAATCAAAATAAGGTAATTCACACTGATTATAGTAAAATGTTTAACTACTTTTTATTACACATTTGATCTGTATGTTTCTAGAGACATAAAAAATTATAAACATAAAGGAAAATTGGGTTTTCAAATGAACAGTAAGTTTTGATAACCTTACAAATTTGTATTTCATGTCTAACAGGAATGATGTAAAGAGAAGGGTAGCATACAGGTACACTAAAACGGTACAGTTTCTGAATGTTTCAGCAATATAGATAGAAATTTATCATAATGCAACTGTTTTTCTGTACCTTTTCTTAAAAACTATAAAAAGTGGTGAAGAAATGTAGAAGGACATTTAAGACTGAAGTTTCATTTTGCATGGTGCTTTACAGGCCATATGTTTCACAATAGTGTTTAGTATTACAGTAGTGTTAAGTTCAGTTTTTAAAATTTTACAGTAGTGTGTTTCACAAGCCTTAAGTATTTTTTACAATAGCATTAAGTTTAACAGCAGTGTTTACCTTTTACAAGTAATCATTTCTTTTTACAGTAGTGTTAAGTTTTGCAGTAGTTTACAGCGGTATCAATTATAAATTTTCACAGTAATGTTCATTTTTACAACAGTGTTTAGTTTCAGAGTTCAGTTTTACAGTAAAGTTAAGTTTTAACAGTAATTTTGAGTTTTATACTATATATAATTTTAAGTTTCACATTAGTATTAAGTTTTACAGTACATATAGTGTTAAGTTTTAAAGAGTTTTTACAGTAGTGCTTTTTGTCCAGCATGATGGGTTTGAGAAGGTGCTGCCTCAGTTCTGTAATCAGTTTACGAGGTGTAAGTGTCTACTTCAAACTGTGCAGGTGTGAAAACTGACATGTAGCTTTCCTTTTCTCTGTATTCCCAAATTACATCTCTCCTGCACTCAGACAGCAGGGAGGGGTCCTTACCATTTTACTGCTCATAGCATTTCTCAATTCACAGTCAGTGTTAATTTTACAGATTTCCAATTATTTCTAGTGTTTACAAGTACATGTGTACTCAAGTAAAAACAGAAGGCTTCTATCTGTGGAACACACAAGCTATGAATGAGTCATCCTCACCCAAATAACTCTCACTGCTCCAGGAGGTGGCTGTGGTTTACCTGTACAGGGGAGGATGGAGTATGGTATGGTGGTTGTTAGCAATTGAACCAATGCAACTAGTTGAGGAATTAGTTGAATTGCTGCCATTTGATAGAAGATTAAAATTAAACTTACTGGTAGATATTGTGAATGAATTGCTATTGCTGATGGGATGATTGAATTATAAATTTGAAGTACAGGTGGATGAGATGGTTGAATTATTGATGTTTGATTGGGTGGTTGAATTATTGGTGTTGGATGAGATGGTTGAATTATTGGTGTTTGATTGGGTGGTTGAATTATTGGTGTTTGATTGAGTGGTTGAATTATTGGTGTTTGATTGGGTGGTTGAATTATTGATGCTTGATGAGATGGTTGAATTATTGGTGTTTGATTGGGTGGTTGAATTATTGGTGTTGAATGAGGTGGTTGAATTATTGGTGGTTGAATTATTGGTTGAATTATTGATGTTTGATTGGGTGGATGAATTATTGGTGTTTGATTGGGTGGTTGAATTATTGGTGTTTGATTGGGTGGTTGTATTATTGGTATTGAATGAGGTGGTTGAATTATTGATGCTTGATTGGGTGGTTGAATTATTGGTTGAATTATTGATGTTTGATTGGGTGGATGAATTATTGGTGTTTGATTGGGTGGTTGAATTGATGGTGATAAATTGGTGATGATGAATTGGTGGTGATGAATTTGATGGTTGAATCATTGCATTTTGAGCACTGGATGAGGTGATTGAATTGTTGATGGTAGATGGAGTATCTAATTGTGAGATATAAACAACTACATCAAAGCATTACAATCACAAACATCCCTTTATACCTTTTACTACAGCATTGTCTAATTGCTAAATCCTCCATTTTTGAACATTTCTGTAAGATATGATTTATTCACCGAGAACACTCAGCATTTATTCAATAATATCAATAGGTCTGCTTTCCTTTACCAGACATTACCTACATTTTCCATGTTACTTTTGGCATGTTCATTGATTGTCCCTTTTGTTATCCAATTTGTGTTATATTTCCTTTCCCATATCACCCTGTTAAAATCTGAAATAATTTTAATCTAATCAGAATATTTTATCTTGTCTTCCTCATTGTTTTCTCGTATCACGACAGAAACACTTTGATCAAAATCTTTTCTAGTGTTAATAATGTTACAAAGAAAGCACCGAGAAACTGAACTACAAGATAAAAGAGTACATGTGTATGAATGTGCCATATACAATGACCAGGAAATATTTTTAAGTTATGTCATTTCATGAACAATGTACCATTTCTTTTGAACCAGTACTATTTATATACTGTTAATACATATCAACGTGACATTGTGGTTGTAGGCGCTATTCAGTGTGAAGTTATAGACATACCACAAAACAAATATTCTGTTGATTAATTTCTGTACCATGTTATAGACATGCTACAAACAAATACTCTATACTGACAATTAAACTTCAATGTGATCACGTTGTTGTAGATCACTACAAATACTCTATACTGACAATTAAACTTCAATGTGATCACGTTGTTGTAGACCACTACAAATACTCTATACTGACAATTAAACTTCAATGTGATCACGTTGTTGTAGATCACTACAAATACTCTATACTGACAATTAAACTTCAATGTGATCACGTTGTTGTAGACCACTACAAATACTCTATACTGACAATTAAACTTCAATGTGATCACGTTGTTGTAGATCACTACAAATACTCTATACTGACAATTAAACTTCAATGTGATCACGTTGTTGTAGACCACTACAAATACTCTATACTGACAATTAAACTTCAATGTGATCACGTTGTTGTAGATCACTACAAATACTCTATACTGACAATTAAACTTCAATGTGATCACGTTGTTGTAGATCACTACAAATACTCTATACTGACAATTAAACTTCAATGTGATCACGTTGTTGTAGATCACTACAAACAAATACTCTATACTGACAATTAAACTTCAATGTGATCACGTTGTTGTAGATCACTACAAATACTCTATACTGACAATTAAACTTCAATGTGATCACGTTGTTGTAGATCACTACAAACAAATACTCTATACTGACAATTAAATTTCAATGTGATCACGTTGTTGTAGATCACTACAAATACTCTATACTGACAATTAAATTTCAATGTAATCACGTTGTTGTAGACCACTACAAATACTCTATACTGACAATTAAACTTCAATGTGATCACGTTGTAGTAGATCACTACAAACAAATACCCTACCCTGTCGATTCAATTTCAATGTGATCACGTTGTTGTAGACATGCCATACACAAATACTCTATACTGTTGAAAAATGTTAGTGTGATCACATTGTGCCATTAAAAATATATACTAAAACAATGGTTATTAAAATGTTTTTCATCTGATAGTTTTCAGGACCTAAACCCTGATATACTCCTGATATCTGACAATAGCCCAAGATGGTGACCATCTTAGTGGCCGAGGCATATGATCAACACTGACTTTGGAGAAATGTATTACAATGCTATGCTTAAATGTATCAACGAAATGTGAAGTTAGGAGTATGTTGATGATGTATTTCTGACGTATTTCAAATGACTTTTCTCTGTCGGTAATGTCAGAATGTTGATAAAGACAATACACTGTACCTAATCGTTACAGAAGGTAATATTCTCAATCCAAAAATAAAACAATGTCACAAGGTATTGTGACCCGAATCTATTGACATCATGACTTAAAGTGGGCGGAGCTTCTATGTTATCAATGGCTGAAAGAAGCATTTTGATTGGCTAAGACCAAGTGGGGGACCATTTCAAACTAAATTGTGCAGTTATTGGTTTTTGATGAATTTCATTGATATTGCAATAACAACATGATTTTCAGACTCGGCTTATTTTAGAATGGGTATGGTATGCTTGTTTTTAAACATGAACTGGAGATTAGATCATGAATATTGTCATGTTAACATTCGACTGTATCTCCTGTTAATACAAAAATTCATGATCTAATCTCCAGTATATTTATAAAAACAAGCACACTATCCCTTAATTATATATCACACACTGATGTCTACACAGTTAATACATTTTTGAGAGATGTTGTTTTCCGGAACAATGGTTTTTGATGTTTCTGATTGTTTTTTTTATGAAATAATAAATGAACACTGTTGTGACTACATTTGACGTAAGAAAATCCTGTTTATACTGAGGCAGCTGGATAAAGATATACAGTATTGAGAATGAATGTCCAGAAGATAATTTTTAATAATCTGTCTTGTTAGAATCAACTTCACAGCTGTTCCTCACAATAACTCTTTAAATGCTGAATAGCTATTTGCTGAAAAGTTATCAGTACAAATTGATATATACCAAATGAAATATAGTCAACGATAGAATGAGATTATCATTCAGTTACATGTTTAAGGAATACAAGTAATTATGAGCCAAAGGATTATTTTCCCATTTAAATGTAAATTGCACATGTTTTCACTGATGTTTACTATGCTGGATAATAGAATAAAACATTGGTGAAATTAACTTTCACCATGATACATGCATCATATATCATACTTCATTAGAAAGTCACCAACTAGGACTTGTATTCTTAATTACTTGTTAAAAATTCTATTTTACTCACATCAACGTAGACTTGTATATGTTCCTTGTCCAACAAAATTACGTTGACCACTTTGCGCTTCTTACAGGAGGCATGGGCCAGACTGAGAGAAGACATGCTCTTCCTGTCCGCCCCTAGTTACACGGTGGACGCGTCACACAGCGATCTATGGGCTTTGTGTGACCACAGCAGGCTATAGTGGCATCCATCCTGAAAAATCAACAAGAACACATTTCATCCAAGTTTCAATAAATATGACCGACCAGTTTTGATACAGGAATAAATTGATGAGCACCTGTTAGTGTTTCTATTGAACTGCAGCTGTATGGGCTTAATTATAGTAACAGTTCTCTTCGTGTAGAAAGAGGCAGTAAAATGATCTCAGTTATCTATCCCTGTGTAAGAAGATCCCAAAATGTGACCAACTTCATGTTAGTCCCTCAATGCACAAGTCATTGGAAGTTATAGGAATATGACACCCTGACATCATGCCGCAATCATCAGAGATGCTTAGAGAACTTCTGCTGCAGACAAGCGTCCCTACATAACTCAGGAGAGTTGTGGAGTTAAGGAAGATACAGGGCACTGGATTCCCAACTCTCTACAAAGTGTAATACACAGTGTCACAGGCAGCCCAGCAGCCATTCACCACAGCACCTAGTGACAACCCTAACTTTCTCCCATACTTCACAGGTGTATTCTGATTTTCCTCAGGTAGGAAAAAGATAGCTAACATTTGCTATATGACACTAATCACAATGGGGTAGCCCCATCATTTTTATGTAGCGTAACCATGTCACAGATTGATAACCTCATCAACTTCAACTTCATAAGATATTCATAATGACGTGATAAATAGGTTTCACAACAAATAACTTGTTTTTTTAGTATGGGCTTAAAAAAAATCAAACATAGGTCAGGACAGGACATGGGCCAGGATATCTCAATCTGAATGATTTTGATTGGGAATTGGACAACACAAGCTTTCACAATTTTTCATGGTCCTTTTCTTCAAAGTACAAAGGTACAAGTAATAAACTGATAAAGCAATTTATGCAATATACAGAGAGAGTAAATGATATCTATAGAGGAATATTCCTGTCCACAGAACAGACCCATTAAGAATCTATTAATCATCAGATTTAATCAGCTTTCAGCAATACACTAATTACACACAGATTTGTATATAACTCTCACTGTGGATAATTGATTCAACACAGAACAAACAGTATCAACTATTTCTACCTGAATATACACTAACTCAGCTTATGTATATCATTACCTAACATACAACCTGGATCATGCCAAGGAGAAGATACAACAGTATAGGATGCACTTTAAAAAGTACAAGTATGAATAATATCTTTGCCATGAGTGCTGTAGCTAATACCAGGTGTTTTGGTGGTATAACTCCAGGATCATGCTTTGTTAGCAGGACCACACGTGCAGGGCACTATGACACAGCCATGAGTCCCCATCCTAATTGTTTAAAGTTGTGTAATGTTGGCTTGGCATGGGTATAACACCCAACATTCTACAGACATGAATTATCTCACTGAACTAGTGTAGGGAGAGTACCTTAAACTCATGATCACAGTCAGATAGAAAGTATTATGTATTATCAATTTGGATAAATGTGAAGTTCAATACTATAGACCAGTTTATACTACGTGACTCTTTCTGTAGAGTAATTTTCTCTATGTTGATTAAGACACATAACAAGGCAGTGCATGATAGTCACTTTCTGCATGTGTATCTCCATGCCAACATGTGCAACTGTAGCATAACTAGCTATATATATCTGTTGAGTATGTGCAGCATGTGTTGTGGTGGTGATACAGGATTTGTGGTAATTATGTGGCATAGCAATGCTTGTAGCCAACTCCTTTATAATCTACCTGACTACAGACAACAATAGTTTGTCAACATATAGCAGTTGACTATTAAAATCGCATTATAATTAATGTCAAATTGCCTCATATCTATACATAAATTGTTGTCAGAACTGCATATATACAAATTAGTGAGTTATATATTACCCTATATAAAAGCACACATCAACCAGAGAAACCGTTTACATGGTGGTACCATAGGTTAGGAAGGCTTTGTGTACCATGCAAATTTAAAAGTCACATTTGATATATAATGACTAAAACCTATTTAAGTAAGATAGAAGTTTATCACTTGATATCAGGCACAAAGGCATTACATACATGCTGACAATACTGGTGCAGCAGTCAATTCTACAAGGGTTACAATACAATTTGACAACTTCATCATCAGATTGACCTCAGTGGTCTTGTGTAACTTGTTGTTGTTCTTTATTCCAGTCTCAAGTCACAATAAAACTGCATTCCTCTAATGTTATCAATAACAGATATAATGGTTGCATTAAAAATTTCTGATACCTATTACATTATCAAAAGATATTTGAGACATATTAATATCACAAATTACTGTTTGATCCATACCTAAATATCTACATTTCTCAGGAATTGAACTGACTCTCCACAAAACTTTTAAACAGGAGACTTATTGTGAGGTGGCCATATTTTTTTCACAGTAAAAAGGAATGTGTTGCATGCCAATAGATGTGATTCCTTGTATATAGTGTCTTGTCCACTGATGTGGTTCCTTGTCTGGACATGTGGTGTCAGGTCTAGTGTCTTGTCCACTGATGTGGTTCCTTGTCTGGACATGTGGTGTCAGGTCTAGAGTCTTGTCCACTGATGTGGTTCCTGGTCTCTACATGTGGTGTCAGGTCTAGTGTCTTGTCCACTGATGTGGTTCCTTGTCGGTTAATGTGGTGCCTGGTTTAGTGCTTTGTCCACTGATGCAGTTCCTTGTCTGGACATGTGGTGTCAGGTCTAGTGTCTTGTCCACTGATGTGGTTCCTTGTCGGTAAATGTGGTGCCTGGGTTAGTGCTTTGTCCACTGATGCAGTTCCTTGTCTGGACATGTGGTGCTATGTCTAGTGCCTTATCCACTGATATGGTTTCATGTCTGTTCAAGTGGTACCTTATCTATAGGTGTGGTGCCTTGTCTGAAAAAAATTTCAGTGCCTGGCCAATAGATATATGGTGTCTTCTCTGTGCATATCGATGTTTATAATTTAGGTGAAGTGCCTTCAAAACATTATTGGTGCCTTCTGTATGTGCTGTGCCTTGTCTGTCTATATACAGCATGCTTTGTCTGGATGCCTTGTACATACATGTGCCTTTTCTGTACATAGGGTGCGTTGCTGTCATGCTGTTTTCAATGTATATATGTTTGCATGATAAACGATTGCTGTTTTGCCATTAACATTCATGTTCAAAGTCTTATCAGCTGATCAGTTTGTAGAGCATGTTGCTTGCATCCTACATGCACACCAGTTGCGCTTCTCCATCACAACCTCTCCCTTCCCCATATTATAACACTTGTTCGTATGCTGTCTCACTTGTTTATGTAAAAACCTCAGCACTGACAGAATTGTAAACAAAGTCTGCATCTTTCTCAAAATAGAATTCAAGTCATATGACAGCATACTCAAAGGTAGTCTATAAATCTTGGGTGTACAATATGGACACCTATCAACCACACCAGTAGTCTATAAGTCTGGGAACACATGACCACATACAACTTCTCAGACACATTAGTAGTCTGTAAATCTAGGAACACATGGCTGGCCATGTACTACTTCTTGGACACATCAGTAATAAATAAATCTGGGAACACATGGCCACATATTACTTCTCAGACACATCAGTAGTCTATAAATCTGAGAATGTGTTTTTTCGGACATATCACTACTTCTCAGACACATCAGTAGTCTGTAAATCTGAGAATGTGTTTTTTCGGACATATAACTACTTCTCAGACACACCAGTAGTCTGTAAACCTGGGAACACATGGCTGGCCATGTACTACTTCTAAGACACCTCAGTAATAAATAAATCTGGGAACACATGGCCACATATTACTTCTCAGACACATCAGTAGCCTATAAATCTCGGAACACATGGCCACATATTACTTCTCAGACACATCAGTAGTCTATAAATCTGGGAACACATGGCCACATATTACTTCTCAGACACATCAGTAATAAATAAATCTGGGAAGACATGGCCACATATTACTTCTCAGACACATCAGTAGCCTATAAATCTCGGAACACATGGCCACATATTACTTCTCAGACACATCAGTAGCCTATAAATCTCGGAACACATGGCCACATATTACTTCTCAGACACATCAGTAGTCTATAAATCTGAGAATGTCTTTTTTCGGACATATAACTACTTCTCAGACACATCAGTAGTCTGTAAATCTGGGAACACATGGCTGACCACGTACTACTTCTTGGACACATCAGTAATAAATAAATCTGGGAACACATGGCCACATATTACTTCTCAGACACATCAGTAGCCTATAAATCTGGGAACACATGGCTGGCCATGTACTACTTCTCCGACACATCAGTAGTCTATAAATCTGGGAACACATGGCTGGCCATGTACTTCTTCTCCGACACATCAGTAGTCTATAAGTCTGGGAACACATGACCACATACAACTTCTCAGACACATCAGTAGTCTGTAAATCTGGGAACACATGGCTGGCCATGTACTACTTCTTGGACACATCAGTAGTCTATAAATCTGGGAACACATGGCTGGCCATGTACTACTTCTCAGACACATCTGTAGTCTATAAGTCTGGGAACACATGGCTGACCACGTACTACTTCTCAGACACATCAGTAGTCTACAAATCTGGGAACACATGGTCACATATTATTTCTCAGACACATCAGTAGTCTATAAATCTGGGAATACAAAGACGTGTACTACTTCAACACCATATCAGTAGTAAAGAAATCTGGAAATGTGATATGGACATTAACTACTTCTCAAAGGCACCATTATACATTGTAGTCTATATATCTAGGAATACAAAAGTCTATAAATCTGTAAATACAATAGTCTATAAATGTGAGAAAACAATAGTCTGGGAATACACTAGTCTATAATGGGAATACACTAATCTATAAATCTGGGAATACACTAATCTATAAATCGGGGAATACACTATTCTATAAATCTGTAAATACAATAGTCTATAATGGGAATACACTATTCTATAAATCTGTAAATACAATAGTCTATAATGGGAATACACTAATCTATAAATCGGGGAATACACTAATCTATAAATCGGGGAATACACTAGTCTATAAATCTGTAAATACAATAGTCTATAATGGGAATACACTAATCTATAAATCTGGGAATACACTAGTCTATAAATCTGTAAATACAATAGTCTATAATGGGAATACACTAATCTATAAATCTGGGAATACACTAGTCTATAATGGGAATACACTAGTCTATAAATCTGTAGATACAATAGTCTATAAT